CCTGGAAACCTCCCAAAATAGATTCAAACTGGACACGTCTACACAAGACACTTTACTGCACAGTAGAGCAAATTACTGCATAGTAATTCAAAACACTTCCCAAGATGTAGACAATACAGGCAAAATAGGTATAAAGTTATTCTAGAAAGCTGTGATAGAACCTCCTTGGTCTTTCACTGCAAATAACACAGAAGCATGATTTTTGGAAACAACATATTTGCTCTATAAATGTGGATGTAGTGTCCACTGCAGAACTAATAAAATACGTTAAAATTGGCTTTAATTCATTGTTTCACCTGTCAACTTTTATTATTACATGAAATATCCCCTCCCTAATTTTAATGTAGTATTTTACTTTTATGTTACTTTACACAGTGAAGTTACAAGGGAAGTGTCATCATAATTATTATTTTTGGATCAGATTTTCTCTTTATGGTCATTTTGGTGGCTTTGCAGCAAGTTTATAATCTGGACCTTCTATTGGGTGTCTTCATTGCTGTAGTCAGAGATGGCCTCAATTTTCTACAAAATGACTGTCTTTGGCAACAAAATTAGAAATGGCCATAAAATGTAATAGGGCATCTTATTTTTATTAAGAGACTTTTTCTCTACTGATTTCAGGGGTGTATCTTTGCTACACAGTTAGACCCATCTCATACATGGATGTTTTATGAATTTGTCTCCACGTGCAGATATTTAGAATAAAACCTTGCTTTTGGCTAGGATTAGCTGAGGGCGTGGACTAGAATGCATGCTCTGTTCTTCACTTGGATTTATAGTTCACTCATTTTGTTGTGAGAATGGAAGATAAATCATTTACATGTTGGCCATCCTTCTGTACCAACCCACAGTTTTCCCTTCAGTGTACAGGGCAGAGTTCTCCTTCTGTTTGAGTGAGAAATATAAAGCAGCAGGACCCGGAACTGAAATCATGATAACTTAACTTGGATAGTGCTTGCAGAGACCTGCTCTTGGCTGGGATGAGTGAAATTTATTCTCAGCTAATTCTTTGGCTCAGGTCACACCTAGAAACTTCTCCTATTGTTTGATGTTAATCCTAATTCCATTCTTATATAATAAAGGGTTTAGTCTGCCTGTCTGTCTGTCTGTAATGCTCTTGGAGCACTCTGACTGGTTAGTGAAACAATCAATCAGAGTGTGGAGCACCACCGTGACAGAGGAGATGGAGTAGGGGGGCAAGACCAGCTGTCATGGAGGAACTCTGCCACCTCCAAGGAGCCGGGCTGAAGTGGGGTGGAGGGGAGGCCAGAGATGCCGGAGGCAGCAGCAATGTGGGGTGCAGGCAGAAAGGGATGGAGGAGACAGTGGGGCAAGCTTCTCTTCCCCCTCCGCCCCTGCTCCTGAGAGGTGGCGGTGTGCAGGGTGGTGAGTAGCAGCGCTCTGCCCCCCCTCCCCTCCCCTAGGTCATTCTTGATGGGCAATTGGTTAGTTTCATAAATAAATGTAAAAAAAATTAATGCCTCCACTCTGGAGGCCAGCCATGCTCTTGGAAGTTCAGTGTGTTCACTGTCTCCCAGGAGGAATTTATCTCATAGCAGGTCTAGGAGAGGACATGGCAATAAAGCATTTAGTGTTGTTTGAAATATAAACAAAGTGCAGTTTTATGTTAAATAAACTTGACCTTGAAAAGTTCATGAGATAAACTAATTTATTCTTCTATTAAATAAATAGAAACACAGCATCCAATATTATCCAAGACTGTTATCCTTCTTTTCCAAGAATGAGGTGACATCAATATAGCTGCCAAACTTTGTATTGCCTGTTAAAGGGAATGCATTAGGAAGGAGGGAGCAGATTCCTTAATGTGCCTCTCAGTTTACACAGAACTAACCAGTACAAACAGAATGGAGTCATCCTCATCAGTGGCACTGTCCTGCCAATGTTTGCATGCTGGACTTGTCCATTAACACTGTCTCTTTCACTTAATGGCTGTGCAGCAGTACAGGCTATAGACATGACATGCTGTCATAGATAAAAGGCTTGGCCCTGCTTGTGGAATTTCAATCCCCCTCTTCACCCAGGAAGTTTGGTTTTGAAGAGAATGCTTTTCTTGTGCAAATGTTATAGTGAAATGTGTACAGTTCATGCTTTCATGTTCCACTTTTGGGGAGCTGAAGAGTGGAATTTGTCCTGTCCTGTAGTGGCATTTTTAATATTTGCTTCAGCCTCTCACTTCACTCTGAACTTAGAGCTTACACTGAGCTTGTTTTTTTTGACTGACTGTCAAAGAACCTACTGACATGTTGCAGTAGAAGTAGAGTCCTCAGAGATATGGTGTGTATGGAATATGGAATAATTTAATTTACCTTTCACTCAAATTTGGCACTTATCTGTCAAGTTGAGGAAGTAGCATTAATAAAAGGCCCTTTAAGCTATATATTCTTCAAAGGAATTATGACATTTAAACACTTACTTAATTGACTCTCCCCTGTGTAAGATTTACAAAACTCTACTTTATAATGTTAAAGCACAATATGCAAACTTTCTTAATGGATATAGGGGCGATCTCTCTAATGAAGAAGAAATGTGAAATGAATGAATCTGGAAATCAGGTGGGGAAGCTTTTTAGACCTTGCAGTCAATGGCATTGTGGTGTTCAGTGAGTACTGGTGTGTCAGACTTTTCCAAATTCAAATGCATCCAAGTCTATAGATGTCAATCTTTTTGTTTTTGGAGGTATTTTAATAATCTGTATTTCAACATATTATGAAATGTGTTTGAGACTCTGTGAACTTCTGGTACCTTATTATATACTATTAAGAATCATAATAGGAGTAAGGGGAAAAAAAATTCTCAAGGGTAGGCCAACATAACCCTTTAGGATAAAGTGAAATATTTTTATACAGTGTGATAGAGATGACCTGGGAAGAGAACTTGTTCCAAAGGTTCAACCAAGTTCATAGTATATCTTGATTTTTAAAAATGTTTGGTATATTTAGTTCCTGTGAATAATACATGCAGTTCTAGCCACATACCCTATAAGATATGACAGAAATACTTCAAATTATTAGTGCCATGAAGTGGCTCTCTGCTGCTTTGAAAGTCATACCTGAGTTAAGACAAGATTGCACAGTCATGAAGTGGTTAAATTTCATGGAGGAGCCAGTTTGCCTAAAACCAGGGCACAGAAGCATAACACTTGGCTTGGATCAGGAGTATCAAATTCATCAGGCCATTTGGGTTAATATAATCATAGAAAGTAATCACAATGAGTATAAAATAAAGTGATAGTATTCCGTTGCCTGTGGAATCAGCTAGGGAGTTTAGTACTTAAATGTAGTGCATCGGTGATTAATTTTAACTTTTTTAAAATGGACATGGCTAATGCAGAATATAAGATGTGTGCAAAGCTTCCAAATTCAACTACTTCTCTTCCTGATATTGGGAAGAGAATACATATGACTTCTTTTTTCCGTTCTGTTTCAGAATTTATTCATATGGTAGCCATGTGAAAACTAGCATTTTAGTCCCCGTGGCCTTACTCTGATCCCTGAGGAAGACCTCTGGGGTCAAAACAATGGAGGCTTGCAATGAGGCAAAATCCTGAAAAGCATAGAAAATTATAGGAGTGCTTACCATGAACAAAACTACAATCTAGTGCCTGGAGGCTGTCCCTTAAAGCATCTCTTAAAGGAACATGTGGCTTTTTGGGAACACAAACCACCACAACTTGTTATTAGAGCTGGAAACAGACAAGACATCCCCTAAATGCTGAGGGAGGGAGAGAAGGGAAGAGGTGCTTAAAACACTTATGGTTTGTGCTTATTTATGATTTATGAGTTTGAAGTCAGTTTTTAGTTGTAGCTCTGAATATATTTTAATTGAGGTCAGCTGGTACATTTAAGTGACATTTTACTGAGATTATGGATAAGCAGATAACTGCTTCTGCTGTAGACTATGCTATTTAACCTGTGTTTCTTAAGTGAATTGATTTTTCTGCATTAAGCTGATTTTAAGTTTTGCACGGTTGTCTTAAAGATAGATATTTTTGTAACTTGTAGACTGGATGATGGACAAAAAAGGTTTTACAACTGGCATCCCAGGTTTGTCAATATCCCTTACTAAATGCAGTATAGTTAATTAAAGAGAGAAATTAAAACACTTCTTCAAAAATTTTATCAAGTACTTTTCATAGAATAGGTTCCATTCTGTAACATTCAATCAAGATGTTAAACACATATTAAAGTGTTTAGGTACTTTCCATGGTAGCGCTTAGATTTCCAAAGTTATTGTTTACTGTCCAGCTTTAAAAAAAAACAAAAACAACTTTCATGTATCCATGAACAGTAGACACAACAGGTAGTCTGGAAGTCATTCTGGGCTAGCTGAACCTACATGTTTAGAAAGAAAGATAAAATTCAGATATCTTCTGGGAACTATTTTTCAAAGCACTGACAGTGCAACATGGTGGCCATATAATTCAGATGTTAGTATGTAGTAGAACTTTTAAAAAGTATTCAAATCACTCATATACATTATAGTACTTACATTTAGCATTTTCTGTCTCACCTTTTCCCAAAAAATGTGGACAGGTGGCCTAAAGATTGAATGATATACTCATCTTCTATATAATTAATATACCCAAAGGCTATAACATTCTGTATCAGCTTAATACTATAGCTTTTTCAATCCTTTTTCTTGGGGTTGCATGTGTTTTGGGAAGATGGAATCAGTTCCTTGGCTTCGAAAGAATTCTAATGCGTTTTTTGTTTTAACTTTTATTCTCTTTATTTATTTAGACGTCTGAACAAGAATAAATTACAGGTACTTCCTGAGCTGCTTTTCCAGAATACACAGAAGTTAACCAGATTGTAAGTAGAGTTTGATTTTTATTTTTTTTTAGTATGTACTTTATGTGCCTGGATTCATTGTGTGGGTTGCCTGTGTGCTTTGGAGGCTTCAGGTGGTTGCTTTTAGTTATATTTAAGATATGTCTTGGTTTGAATAGTTGAAATAAGGACTTTTTAATCATGATTGTAGCTATGTGCTAGAAAATAAATATTTGAAGGAAGGAAGCCACAGGTTACTTTTCTTTGTTTCATAGTGTATGCAGATTCAATGTGATGGCATCAGTGTTAGTATATTAATAATAGTCTATGTAGAGCTAAAGAGTAAGTTCAATAATGGAAAATATTTGGGCTTGGTATAGTAACTGTCCACAGAAAGAAAGTCTGTTCTTGTGGTATTTTAATGGTATAATTTCAGTTGAGCCAAAGATAAATGCAGATAACTTTGGTTGGAGTTGTGCTTTTTGTATTTGAAGAACAAATATTTTCCATTTCCCAAGGGGCATTGAAGATGCCAAATGATAAGCTATGCAGGTGGGAATTAGTTTGGTTCAACACAAGGAGAAAGAATAAAAGAAATGAGTTTAGAGTTGGTGTGCTTTTCTCAATCTAAGCCTAGTCAGTAGAGTGTGATGATGGCAATGGATATTCAGGTTGTGGATGAGCAATAGAGTTGTTGATGCTTCTTCTATGTAGGGAGCAAGATTGCATATTTCTGTGAAGAATGCTATTACTATATTAATAGGGAGGCAAAACCTCTTCAAAACACTTTTACTTTAACCTGCAAAAGCTTAACTGCCAATTCACTTTCACTGTTTGGGAAGTTTGCTGTACGGTTATTTCTCTCTCGCTGTTTCTCTCTCGGTGTACGTCTATGTGTATATATATTCTTTTTTTAAGAGGTTATTTAGATTTATGGAAAACTTGGTCTGACTGGTGAAATTGTAAAGTTACTACTAGGCAGCTGAAAGTTTGCTTTATCCATGTGGGATTGTAAAAATTCTGTTTTAATAACTGTGTAATCAAACAAAACAATTTCAGCACCACAGTAACTTTTCCTTCTTGTAGAAATGTGAAACTCATGGTGATGAAGTGGTTGATAAATGGTGGTTTAGAAACAGATTCACCAATTAAAAGTAGACTATATCAGTGTTTTGAAGCAAAAGAATTGGGTAGTGTTGAACATACTTAATTCAAACGTGAAGACTTCATTTCACGTAATGAATTCCTTCATGTTATATTTCCAGTGTGAAACACTTTTTACCCACCTTGCTGAGCTCTTCCATTGACTTCTAGCAGCAGCATGGTTCTAGCAAGAAAACCTCATAAATGATGCTTGCTTTTTAGTTTCAAAATCTGACTGCAGAAATGCAAGTCCTGTTATGTCTCACCTGGTCTTGGAATTAGTTTTAGCACAACTTTTAAACACACTGGAAAAGATCTGCTGAGTGGAATTTCTAAGTCTGAATAGTACATGTGCATGCGTACTAAGATCCTTCCTGAAAGTTTCTGTAAATTTTGCATGTTGAAATTGTTCTTCTAATTATACACTTAGTTTTACCTTGCAGATAAAGCCATCTCATTATATTTATACCTGGCTTTATACTTATTTCCTAAAAGGTTGATCTCTCATACCCTCTGTATACAAATGGCAGAATTTTAATGGTAAAACTCTGTAGAGCTAATCCATAGGTTTTAACAAAGTCTCAGTTATGTAACATGCATAAACCTCCTTCATGGATAATTGTTGTACTGCATGTGATTATCATTAGATTTAAAATACCTTCTCCCAGGTGTATGTTTAATTACCATTTCAGCATGTTAGTTTGGAAATAGGCTGAGCATATCAGGATCTGACAAAGGCAAGTCTCTTGACTGAATTCTGGCTTCCTACATCAAAAGATAAGATAATTACCATCCTTTTTCCTTGATTTCAGTTGTCAGTATAACAATTTTGTGAGATTTATGAAATAGCTGCATGTATGTCAATTAGCATGTACTTGTATTATAAAAAGTAAACCTTTAATTTAAGGTTCCACGCAGAAGTAAAAGTAGTTGTGTATTTTGAAACAGAAATATATTTCTTTGATTGTTCAGATAATGATGCTTACTGTCATTAAACTTGGCTAAGAGTTTAAATTTTATAAGGTAAAATTACAATACTTACTCAAATATAAGACAACCCTGATAATAATACAACCCCCCAATAATTAGATTATACATATGGAAATTGTATAAATTTGTTATAATTTTCCAGGTTTAGAATCTAATTACTGAAGGTTTGCCTTGAATTTATCCCCCTCCCACTACTATAGCAGAGAAAAAACATCTGGGGGAATCAGCCCCATTTTCCCTATGCACCCTTCCCCCTGCAGTCCCATCCCATCAGACCCTGCTCTCCCTGATCACATGGAAATGATAGCTAAATTTTGAAAACACTGACTTTGAAAAAAACATGCCTGTAGTAATTTTCATATTATTATGCATACCCATAGGCTTAATTTATCCAGAATTGATGCATTTTACCTTTTCTGAAACTGTTGCAAGTTTTAGTACAGGTACTCCATAAACACACTTTTAAGCAGCACTTTGTACCTACGTATATATAGTATAGACCACGGGTTTTCAACCTTTTTTAACAAGTGTATTCCCCCGACCCTGTTTCTGGGAGTGAGCACAGAGAGCGAGCTGAGGTGGGGGGGTGGGAAGACGCTGCAGTGTGCCACGTGGAGCTGGTAGCATCTGGCATGCCCCTCCCCCTCTGCTGGGTAAGAAGCAAAGTATGGCAACGTGCCTCCATACCCCAGGGTGTGCTCTGTCCCTGCCCCCACCTACCTCCTATGGCCTGTCTAAATACCCCTGGGGGTATGCATACCCCCAGTTGACAACCTCTGGTATTAGACTATGCATGATCTTGATTTAAAGCCAAAAGGCTCATGCTTTATCATACAGTTCATTGGGCTTGGCCCCAGTAGAGTCAATAGTATTTCAGGCCATGGTGACTCCTCAGTATGTGTGTACTCCAGATTACCCCTGCCTTCTCAAAGCATACATGTATTAATTAACCTCCAATTTATGACTGGAATTGGGTGCTCTTGTCACAAGTCCTGGGAGCCTTCAAAATATTATATGTAGATGAGGCACAGGGCAAACTGTTCTGGCTCCACTCATAGAGAGCAGGGCCACACTAATCATGTGACAGGCTGAGAGGGGGAGTCGGGGATTCTGGGTAAACTGCTTGGGTCCCTGTTTGGTGATTGCCAAACATTTAAGGCTGGTGAAGAAACAGGAATACTTGGAAATGGGAAACAAAGGAACAGCTCAACTGTGGGAGTGAAGAGGAAGTTGAAATGTATTCAATGTAATGGATCAAAGATTTGGGACTGAGGGGAACTGTACTCACTGAACCATATACTTTATTCATATAAGCTGCACTAACCTATCCTTCTGGTAAGTTCCCATCAGTATGTTTGCCCAATATGGGCCACGTGTTTTATAGTCATACTCAGTTTTGGCTATATTTAATCAATTTCATAGTTGGTTTTCACTGCTGAGCACAGGCTACTTTTAGCAACAGTTTAATGATAGACAATGTATTTAATGAGGTTTCTTTGTGTATGAATGTAAGAGGAACTTTTTCCCCCATGCTGATGGAGGGGGATGACACACCTTATCTTGTGATTAAATAAATATGTCACTGCGTTATAATGTAAGACAGATAAAAGAATATCAATTTTACACTTGTATATTGCCTCCCATCAAATGACATTAAAATGTTGTACCATATAGATATCGATGGTTGAAGACACTCAAGGTTTTGGTGATATAATCAGATGTTCTGCCATGGTCTTTGTTATTAATAGTAGTTAGATGTTTTTTTCTTTTTGTAGTGTCCTTTAGCTAGAAGGCAATAGCTTTTTTAAAAGGTACAAATGTTAACAGAAATATCAGATTTTAAGTGGAACATATAAAGTACACAAGTAAACCACTCAATATTATTGCTGCATCCAAAAGTAGTTTTGCAGTTCTGCTGCATATGCTTCAGTAATACAGGGCTCATCAGCATCTACCTACAGGGGAACCCCTTGATGAAAGATTTTCTTTTACATTTTACTACTGATTTACACAGCAGTTCTGATCCCACCTGCAGTAGAATCCAGGAATTCGGAGCCTTTCCTCCTCATTTTCATCCTGTGAGTTTGAGCAGAGTTCAATAATGCCAGTCAATTCCACTTGAAATAGGATCTGTGGGTAAAATGCTTCACTGGAGAGGCATAATGATAAAGAATATTCTTTTCCAGCAGCTGATCTAGACTTTCAAGAAGAGAGAGTGTTTAAGATAGTGAAGAAGGGGAGTAACATAAGTGAGGTCAAGATAGAAAGAAAATTGAAAGAAGTGATTAGACTTCAGTATGGAGTAAGAGAAAAGTAAAAGGGGACAGATGGAAGAAAAAAGAAAAGACAGTAATACTTAACAGATTAATTTTACTAGTTCTGGTTTATCGACAGTACTCAAATACATACTATGTGGGCTATCACAATTTCACATTGGGCAGCCCACTGGGTTACCGAGCTATAAATAAATTTTCTCATCAATTTTTTTAAAGTTATAACCTAGACAGTCCATTAGAAGTCCAGATAGGTAGGTTCATCTCACTAGAGCCACCTGATGCTTTGAAATCTAGTGGGTCAAAATTACATAGCTCTTCATAGCACCATAGGGCAGAAGAGCTTGCAGGCTCATATATTTTATTTGGATGAAAGCTCAGTCAGTTTGAATCAGTGTTTTATCTCACTTGGGTTTGAATGTGGACCTTTGGCAATCTCCATATTTAAGCACAGGCACCACTTCAGTTCCAGCTCAGCCTCTGCCATGAGGTCTCCAATGGGAGACCACATGACTTGGTCATCTTGTCCCCCATTGGAGCTACAAGCCCCTGATTGGAAGGCTATAAAACCCTCCCACTTGCTGCAGGGTTTTGTCCCTGCCATGGCACTACTGGGTGCAGTCCTGCTCTGACTTC